ACCCAATTTGAGCATTATTGTTTCCAGATAGTCCCATTAAACTCTGGTCATATGCTTTCATAGATTTCCTAGTGCTAAAATGGGCAACACATCACTCATACTCAACCGACCCATTTTCTTAAGGAACTCACTTATCGCCCGTTTAATCAAGCATTGGAGCCCAATAGTCATGTACTGATGCATGTGGCATGTTACATGATAGCTTGCATGCCTGAACTAGGCCTAGTAATCAGTGTATCGTCTCGTCGCTGACTAGTTACAAATAAAACAAATTATACCTAGCACTGTAGATGTTCTGCATGGACGGGAAGGAACGACTTCGACTACGAAATGTAGCTAGATTTCAATTCACTATGAGGGTGGTTGCGGAGAAAAGCGAGATGATTCAAATCGATTGATCTTTTGTGATCTCTTCTCTCACTTTTGGAGAATGGTTGGGGATTGCCACGATCCAAATTGTGTATATATGTTTGATGACACCTGGTTTGTCCTGGAGCTTCTCAAGCACCCACATCACACCCGTTCCAAGATCTCCAGATTGTTTGTATAGTGTTTCTGAAGAGCTCAAAAATCCTAGCAAGAACTCCACCCTTGCTACACTCATGAGTAGCAACTAGGGGCGGTCTGGCGGATTCAGGATTTGAAGTTACCCGAGGCAGACTTAAGGAAACAAAAAAACAACGCCATGATACAATTAAATAAGGGATTCAACAAAGTTAATTGGCCAAGTAGTTTCCAACAAACGAAATATTACAAGTAGATTCATTCTAAAAAACTAGGTGAAAAAAATATAATGGAACAAGAATTTTATATAAAGTCTAATAATTTGGACACCTAGAATCTTCCATTAAGCCAATGTGACAAGAAATTAAAGAATTGTAGAATGGAACGGGAGAAGCAGACCGAGTAGAAGACAAGATTACTAGGAGAGCGGAAGAACCTCCTGCTTGCAATTTCGAGCGGGGCACGTTGTTATGGTGATGATGTCTCCCATGCAGACGGTGCACTGAGGAGGGTCGGGCAGACTTCATCCTTCCCAATCACGATCAATTGGCTCTTTGGCAGTGCCGAGGTGAGGCAGCAAATTAGCGTGATCGATGACCTGATTGATTATCCAGATCGACCGTCCACATAGCAAACTGATATTTTTAGACAAATATAGAAAACTGAATGAGAATTGGGAGCGTCAAGGCGAAATCACTAACTGAGGAGTACTCTTTGCAAAGATCACTCCCATCTCCCCAAGTTGCGACAAATAGTTTTCCTTTTTTCATAGATCCGTTTAGTCAAAATATTTTATCTCTTAGACCGTGCGTCCAAATCTTGAACCGTTTTCAACATTGGATTCCTCGCGTCGAGATCTTCAAAACTAGATCCCATGTTGATCGGTTTTGATGGACTATTTTTTCATGAAAAAACCGAACCGAGAGCATGATTTTTTTCCCTTTCCAAAGAGTCACGACTGTGCTTCTCGCAAAAGCACAACTATTCCTCTTGCGCGATCAAAACCATGCCTCTCGCGGAAAAAAAAAGAGAAAACACGTTTTTTCCATTTTTGATACGCACGGCCGTGCCTCTCGGGAAAGCACAACCGTGCCTCTCGCGGAAGCAAAACCGTGCCTTTTACCGAAGAAAAAAAAACAGAAAATCAAGTTTTTTCCATTTCCGAGAGGCATGGGCCGTGCTTCTCGCGAAAGCACAACCGTGCCTCTCGCGGAAACAAAAACCGTGCATCTCGTGGAAGGAAAAAAACACATTTTTTCCCTTTCCGAGAGGCACAGCAGTGCCTCTCAAGGAAGCAAAACGAAAAAAGAAAAAAAATAATTTTTTTGGTCCAAAAACTAAGGAAGACTGGTGGAAAACCAAAAGGTAGAAAAAAGGAAAAAAATCGATTTAAAAGCCGAAAACACACACGGAAAATAAGACAAAAACAAAATCTAAATGGAGCGCCACACGTCGCGGCGGCTGAGAACGGGCCAAGTGGCGTGCTCTCAGTGCACCCGCAAGTGATCTTTGCGAGGCTCCCGATGGAGCGCTTGTCAACTAGTTGCTTCCGCGTCAAGGGCTGAACCGTGTATCAATTAAATGGGCTTAAGTTAAACTGGGCTTTGTACTAACGACTAGATTACTGCAACTTAACTGTTGGCTCATCTCACAAAATGAAACGGTATCTTCTCTTCTCCCATCTTTTTGCTTGATCTACCCAGCGATGAGCATCGCGCACAGTGACCTGGCGATCGACGGATTACCTTGGCTTGGCCCATTAACATGTTGCAGGGTTTTCCGGTTTTGGGAACCTTCTAGAGTTTCCCAGCTGGTTTCCCTGTTTTTGGGAACCTTCTAGATGGTTCCTTGAACTGGTTTTCCTGTTTCTTTTTGGTTTTTTTCTTTTTTCTTTTTCTGTTTATTTTTCTTCTTGCTTTTTTCTTTTATTTTCCTTTTGCTGTTTCTTTTTTTATTTTTTATATTTTTTATTTTTAAGTCTATTTTTTAAGAGTTCATGTTTTGAAAATTGTTCGGAAACTTAAAAATATATTCATGTTTTTAAAAAACGATCAATATTTTTAAAAATGTTCGTGTTTTACAAAATTTATCATAAGTTCAAAAAAACCAGCAAGTCCAAAAAATGTTTTTGTACCAAAAGTTGTTCGGAATGTTTCTCAAAATTTGTTCAGAATATTTTATTTATATTTATCAAAACTTTTCAAATTATGATGTGTATTTCAAAATAATCCCTGTTTTTAAAACTTGTTCACAAACTCAAAAAATGTTCTTGTCTCCAAATTTTTGTTTACTTTTCAAAATTGATCGTGTTTTTAATTTGTCTGAGATTTTCAGAATTTTCTCCATTTCGGAATGCGTTCTAAAAATTCAAAAATATATTCATGTTTTTCAAAAATTTGTTCACATATTCAGAAAATGTTCATGTTTACCAAAAAAATACGAAAACTCACCTTTTTAAATTTGGTTTCACAAACCAAAAAATATTTTATGTCAAAAAATTCTCAATTCCAAAATTTGTTCACAAATTCAAAAAATGTTCATATGGTTAAATTTTCTTCACAAATTGGAAACTTGTTGGGAATTTCAAGAAATATTCCTGTTTAAATATTTTGTTTACAAATTCAAAAAAAAATCTTTTTCAAAATTTGTTCACATTTTAAAAAAATATTCATGTTTAGAAATTTTCTTACAAATTCGAAAAATGTTGAAATGTTTAGTTTTTTCTCACAAATTCAAATATGACTGTGGATTTGAAAAAATGTGCCTTTTCTCCAAATTTTTCATGTTTTTGAAAGATGCTAAAGTTTTCAAAATTTGTTCACAAATTCGAAACATGTTCATGTTTTCAAAATTAATTCGCAAATTCAAAACATGCTCAAGTTTTGTAAAAAATAGTTTCTAATTTTGAAAAATGTTCACTTTTTATAGTTTTTCGAAATATGTTTTGCGTTTACAAGAAGTAGTTCATAATTTCAAAAAGTGTTCTCGTACTCAATTTTTGTTCCTTTTTGTTTTTTCCCAAGGCTCCCCTTCCCTGGACCCTGCGCAAGCGGGAGATACATGCACCAGGTTGCCCTTTTCTTTTGTTTTTTACCTAATAATGTTTGCCTTTAGAAAAGTTTTTCCTTTTCAGGGATCTTGTTTGAATTTCCTAAAAAAGTTTTAATCTGCAGCCTATTATAGTTCATATGTTTTTGGCCGCCCTTTTAGGCTCATAACCTTAGTTAGTTCAGTGGTTATGGATGCGGTTCCCAGGTGGGAGGTCTTATGTTCGATCCTTCGCCGGCATGTTTCATGGAATTTTCCGAACTGATTTTATTCTTTACTACCCCGGTAGTTTCTTTTAAATTCGCGCTGCAGATCTTTCGCAATAGGCCTCATGTCATACTAGTTAGCATATCGCGAGCCTCTGAAGCAGGTCGCGGGTTCAATGCGATCGCGCGTTTCTTATTTTTGCGAATTTATTTCATCTCGCGAAGGACAACGAAATGGGCCGGTCTATCGCGGCATATATGAGGTCCCTACATATCATGGCTCCCTCGCCCCCCATGGTGGCCAAAGTAGTATGGTGTACTCCTAGGATCAAAAAGTTTACCCGGGGCAGCCGCCCCCACACAACCCCACGCAGGATCCGCCCCTGATTCAAATGAGCTTAAGTTAAACTAGGCTTTGTACTACCGACTAGACTACTGCAACTTAACTGTTGGCCCACCTCATAAAATAAAACGGTATCTTCGCTTTGCCCATCTTCTTGCTGCATCTACCCAGCGATGCGAATGCACATACCTCGAAGAAAGAACACATCTTGGCTCCCTCGCCCCCTATGGTGGACAAAGTAGCATAGGGTACTCCCAGGATCCGAAAGTTTAACCGGGGCGGTCGCCCCCACACGACCCCATGCTGGATCCACCCCTAGCAACCAAGAATATAAAATTACGGCGTCAAACATGGAAACGAATTCTTAGTTGGGGGTGTTGATCCTACATTAGTGAAATCCCATTACGGCGTCAAACATAGAGACTCAAAAGGCCGTCGATTACGAGACGCTTTTGGTGACTTCGTCAATCTCAATATGATCGATATGCTGACTCAGTTTCTCGAAGATGCTCATATAAATAGAATATGCGTATGTGTTCATAGAGATGAGTGTATGTGCGTGCACATGTCTGTACTGTGTCAAAAAATAGCGGCAAAGTGGCGACGTGAGCGGATATAGTAAAGAAAAGAAAAAAAGGAAACAGCGTCCGTTTCGGTCTCATTTCCGTGTTCCCTACGCATGCGGTTCCGAGAGTAGCTAGTAGCTAGCTTAATTACAGGCTCGATCCGAGTCGAGAAGGAACGCACACAGCTAGCGATCGACCTACTATAAATATGGGCTCCATATCAATCAGCACAAAGAGCAATTGCTTTGTGGCGTTCTTCGCGTCGTCTTCATCAAACAATATCCATCGACATCTCCCTCTCGCGCGTACGTGGCGGCTGATCCACGAACTGCAATGGCGGCCGTAGCAGGAGCTCTTCTCCCGCCGCTGCTCCCGACGCCGCCCAGGAGCGAGATGCTGCCGATCCTCCCGACCCCGCCCAAGAGCAAGATGCTGCCTCTGTTGCCGACGCCGCACGGTGTCGTCCTCACCATGCTGGTGTCCGCCATGTCAGGCCGCGCTGACTTCGTCCAGAGGTGGGACTGGAACAAGACGGGCAAAAAGCCATGCAGCTCCATCTGCTCGTCGTTGTCGTCGTTGTCATTGTCGTCGTCGGGCAGCGAGAGCACCGGTCGTGCCGACTCCGTCGACCAGTGGGACTCCGACAAGAAATACAAGAAGCCCCGCACCACCGTGTCGTCGTCGTCGTCATCGTCATCGTCATCTTCATACAGCGCCGGGAGACCCGGACGCGCCGACTCCGTTGAACGCTGGGACAGCAAGAAACTCACGACCTCGTGCAGCGCGTCCCTGCCCACAGGTCGTGGCCGCCATGACGACAACAACAAGCGCCTTCCTAGCCCTGGTCGCGCGTCCTCAGGAGAGTGCTGGGACTTACACAAGAAGCCTCGTCCGGAGTACGTGGGCAGGCTTCCTCAGACTAACGCAACGGCCACAACACCGCAGAAGGCCGTGTTCGCCGGGCCCTGCTTCTACGCCTCGCCGGACCCGAGCATGCTTCCCATGCCCTCCTTCTTTCTGCGCGCACATTAGCCTTCACTCTGTGCTACAAGTAGTAATTGTTACAAGTCCATCACGGCGATCTAGTTCCTTTCTAAGGAGTAGTGTTGTGTACTAGGATCTTGTAATCCCTTTTATTTCATCTCACCTAGTGAAAAAGCATCCAACATTTGGCCGATGCTACTTCTGCTGTTATGATTCAATATGTGTGAAGGATGTTTATTTTCAATGAATTTATTCGTCGTCGTTTTTCTGCAATTTAATTTCAGCAACTTTTAATGTACCATAGCGTTCAACTTGAAGTTAACTAAGATGAACAGAATACATGCAGTTCTAAAAACTAGACTAGAAGAGTTGGTATAGCTTCATGAAGCAAACACAAACATGAACCAGTCACCCCGGTGGCTCGCTTGATCAAACACCAATGCACTCTTCCAATTCACTCTTCTCATCCTCCAAGATCTCGCCTGGTGTGGCCAGCGAGTCATGGCACTCGCTGGTGCCTTGATCGAGCATGGAGAAGTGGGAGTTACACATTGGCTGCCTTGCGCGTCAAGCTCGTCGACTCGCTGGTCTCCCTCGTTTTCATAATCCAGGGCGCCTTAACATTTGCTCCGTATAACCAGATGCGAGCGCTTGGTCTTAAGATTTACCGGTGCTTTTTGTTAGAACAGATTTCATGTGTTTTTCCTTAGGGGAAAAGCAAAGTTTATTGATCAAAAACCACATGAAGTGGAATACAATATGGATCGTGGGGGTGGTAGAACCACAAGTGGCACCCCTCATCCAGAGGATTTGAAAACTTAGCTAAACTATCTGCTTCTGTATTTGCCGCTCGACATTCAAAAGTGAATTTGCAGTTGAAGACTACTGGTGTATGCTGGAATCAAAACAATGCTTGTGGGTTGTCCTGTTAAGTTGAGTGAGTCATTAGAGGGCAGATAGAGTCACCCACACAAATTAATGTTTATGAAGAAGAAGAATAAACCTGCTGCTGTTGTTATGCCTCTATTCACCGCTACTGCTGTTGTACTTGTGATGATGTTGTACTTGTGATGATGCTACTTGTGATCTTCTAAATGACCCATTGGCGACTTCATTACGCGGGGATAATGATTTTGCAGGTATCCCGAGAGGCCCTTGAGTTTGTCGGAATGTCGATTAAATTCCGTTCCAGCAAATTCGGGTACTCCATATGTCCTATTTTCAGCAAAGGTCATGCTAAAATTTTCCGTGAATTTTAGCTTGACTTTGCTAAAAATAGGACATATGGGGTACTTGCGACTAATGCATGGGCCGGGGTATTTTAGTACTTAATTAAGTAGGATCAACTACCCCGCCATTCTTGCTGCATTAAGCCATTGGTGGCAATAGAGCCAAGTGATTAGGCCCAACTTAGAATTCTCCTTCCCTTTTCTTGATAGGGTATAATATTAGAAGATCACCATATATATCAGTCAACCTAGGGTGCCTCGGCATCGATAAACCCTAAATGATGAAAACTTAACTTAGCATTTAGGGTGCCTCAGCGTCGACAAACCCTAAATGATAAAACCTTGGCTTTTAGGGTGCCTCGGTGTCGATAAGAACCTAAATGATGAAAGCTTAGCCTTTTAGGGTGCCTCGGCGTCGACAAACCCTAAATGATGAAAGCTTAGCTTTTAGGATGCCTCGGTGTCGACAAACTCTAAATGATGAGACCATGATCTTGTTCCTTGAGAATAACCAACTTTTTGACCAAACTTTTTTCCTATTTAGAGCTAAACATGGCCCACAATGATGAGGCCGGCGGTTCGGGCGGCAAGCAATTCTAGGAGCTGTCCTAGGAGATGGAGGAAGAACCTCACCGCTATGATTGCCGCGGAAGACACCGATCCTGACTACACAACCCCTAGTGGCGTCGGGGATGACACCACTGATGGTGCCACCAAGGATGCCACCACTGATGATGGCAGCGCATGCACAGATGGCAGCCAACCAAAGAGGTAACGGAAGGACCGGCGCCCAAACGTGCTCGACACCATCAAGGAGGAATTTACTGAATTGAACTCCGACGGGCATCCAACGGTGCCCAAAGAATTAGTCAAGGGGTACTCGGTTCAGCTCGGGTGCATTCTCTGGAGCACCGTCTCGATCAACACCGAGAACCTAAGTCATAAGGACCGAGGGAATTTGCGAACCTCCTCTTCACGAAGCTGCACGAACGATAGAAGTTCCCCGCTGACTTTGCAAACACATGCCTCTCAGGGAATAAAGTGAACAGTGCCGACCTCATGAGGATGAGCACGTCCCTGTCTACTTGGAGAAGCACAGTGAAGAAAATGATTGACAAAGGTGATAGTTATGAGAAGATCAACGTGAAATATCCTTCGATCAACGAAGATGACTACAAGGAGTTCAAGATCAAGTGCGAGAGCAGTGCAACCGTGGAATCAAGCCAGTGGAGGAAAGAAATGCGGGAGTTGAACTTAGGGGTCCACCAACTCGGTACCGGTGGTTACAGAGTGGCGGAGCCTATATGGGACAAGGAGTACGTGGAGCGTGCCGAGCAAGGCCTACCGCCCCGCTTCGAGAAATATCATGACAAGCACACCAGGAACTTTGTTAGGGCCCGGTACAAGGATGACCCGGTAACAAAGGAGCTTACCACGGATCCGAAGACCAAGGTGCTTGAGCTTGTTCCCGTAAGTAATACACCCCCGCGTAATTAGCTCCATATGGTTGCATTCTAATTAATGAAGCCAAATTTCTAAATGGTTCACATTCCTTCCGCAGGAGACTGAAAGCAGTAGCGCGGGGTCGTCTAAGAGCTCCCCTGCTCGGGACATCACTCTAAATAGGGCGTTAAATGTAATGAAAAACAAGGATAAGCTCAGTAAGCCGTCGTCAGCTGGTCGTGTGGCCGGCAAAGGCTTGTCCACAAAATGGTCGTCATACTATACCGCTGGTGGGCGAAAGGAGAGAAAGACCAGCTCGGAAAGCCACTCGCGCGAGGTTCAAGAACTCGAGGCACAAGTGGCGCGGATTCTGGAGATTATCGAAGAGCAAGTGCAACAACAAACTGGGAATGACGCTCACCGCCATGGTGCCTACCTTGATTCAGGGTCTGACGACGTGGATTGCAGGCGGCCAAGTGGGGCCGCCCCCGATTCCTAGCTTCACGGCCAGCAACTCGCACAACGCGCAAGCGGCGCCATTGGTGTCTCCGGCGGAGGCGGTATTCGTGTCTCCGGCGCCGGCACGGGCATTGGAGCTTAATGCACCCGGGTGTACGCCTGCCGACGCCTCGCCAGCAAGCGGCCCCTCCGTCAGTTGCACACCCGCCGTTGGTGGTGCCTCGACATTAGCCGGGCTCGACGGCCGATAACTTCATCTCCTTGCCTTTGACTGGGCATCCCTGACGCCCTACATGTTTTCGCAGGGCGCCGCCGATGTTCCATGCACTCTCCTGCACTTCGTGGGCAGCGAGTTGATCAATGTCGCGAAGGGCAGAATCGTTCAACCGGGCAACCCCGTGTTCCACGGTAATCCGATGCCACCCACTGTGTATAGGGTTGAACTGGTTCGGGTGCTGCCAGGCTGCAACGAGTTGTTACCTCCGATTCGACCCGCTGCGGTCGACGAAGATGATGTGATGACCATTAACGCCTGCGTAAGCTGGCCCCTACTTTGGCCAAAGAGCCAGATTAGTTTGGGGGCGGGGGACACCACCCCACAGACAAGACCGCCAGTCGTGTCGGCGCCAAGCCATGGCAAGAACGCCGCAACGCTACCGTACATGCCGGACATCCCTATGGCACAGGATCCGGACATGCATATGGCACAGGATTCGGATGATGACAATGATGACGGTACATTTACTAACATCGATAAGTACTTTGACAAACATGGGTACGGTGACGAATTTTGCGGGCCTCCTTCTCAAGAACCCAACCCTGAAAAAGACGACCGCGATCTAGCTGGTACCGCGGAGAAACCCAATTGCAACAGGCATCGTCTAGCATTCAGTTCTCAGGAGATGCCTCGAGCTGCTGCCTTCACCGAGCCTCAGATAGCCGAGGTGCGAAATATTATCAGCCCCAACACGCTCAATAAGGCGGTCTGTGAGCAGAACTCGATCCTATTATAGCAGATCAAGAAGAAGGGACGGAAATGAAAGACTAAGAAGGGCGCCGGTGCGAGCCACCCGGCATCGAGTACGATCCGTGCTCAGGACAGGCCACCTTCACCTAAGGATATCTCGAGGAAGGTGCATGTGGCGGGTAGGGCGATGCTACCGACAAATATGCTCAATGCTGCAACCGGTGCTATGCGGAGTCTGCATGACAATGTTCTTTCTTTGGAGAAGCGGCGGCTCTCCCAGAATGATGTGGCATACCCAGTTTTCGTGGCCAAGGTGCCAGAGGGCAAGGGCTTTGTGGATAGCGCCATCAGGGGTACGATCATCCTGCGGTTTGATGACATCTTTGCTATGTTTAACCTTCATCCGCTACACTACACCTTCCTTCGGCTGTTTTCGCTGAGTATGAAGATGTGGAACATTCGAGCCAAGACCCCGGACATCGTGATAGTCGACCCCTTCTACATGTGTGCCAAGATCTTGGGCAGCGCTGGGGACCGGCAAGTCGCGAGTTCACACCTCGAAGGCGTCATTCTGGCAAACCCAGATAAGGATAACTTCCTCGTGCCTTACTTTCCCGAGTAAGTCATCCCCTCACCGCCCTGTAACATATGATTTCTTAGATTTCGATCGTTATTTTTTTTCTAACATTCCGTGTTTTGTGCAGTGACACACATTGCACACTCACCCTCTTAAGCCCGAAATATTCCTTGGCCACGTATTTCGACCCGGACCGTGAGTCGATCATAGACTACACAAATATGAAGAAAGTTCTTGATGATGCTCTCCCCGGCTACGCCAGATCTGGAGGCACCTTCAAGAGGCCAGTTCGTAGGTATGGCAAGCATGTGTTCACCCACAATACGATGTTCCCCTGCATCAAGCAGCCGCCTGGCAGTCAGAAGTATGCCTACTATGCCCTCCAGCACATGCGGGCGATCGTACGGAACCATAATCACCTTCTGCTACCAGATAAGAATTCTTTCGCATCCAGTCGGAGTTTGCGGAAATCATCCATTAAGATGTCCTTCGTACCTCGGGGCAGTTCTACCTCAGATCTCAACCGTCCAACAGTGAGATTGAAACAATGCTACAAATGCAGGCTGACAACGCCCGCGATTTCATGACCATCACGAAAGACGGCGGCTTCATTCACGATCCGGTCCCCTGAGTCGAGTCAAAAGTAGTGATGTTATATGAAATGTCGATTGGCTCATGTTGTAATATTAAACTTTAATGAACTTGTATGTATCTTTGGTTTGGACAGTCGTTCAACTTATATGTAATCGATGCTATTTATTAGTAGGACCATGAATCGTGCTATTAATGTGTTGCTTTTCTCTTCCGGTCCTTTTGTTGCATACTTATATATTGCTTATGTATTATCTGTGAATTGTTACTAACGTTTTGTTTGGCTAGTGCATAGAGATGTCGTCGTATGTCGTGTACAAGGGTAAGGTTCCTGGAGTCTATGACGACTGGGAGGAGTGTCGGAGACAGGTTCACTGTTTCAGCGGTAACAGTTACAAAGGGTACACCACTAGGGCGGAGGCAGAAGTTAGATACGCACGGTATCTAGCGGGAGAGAGGAGAGAGCGTTGGAGGAACTGGATGAAGACCAGTTTCATCGCGATTATGCTCATCGTGATGACCGCAACTCTCTTCTATGTGATGTTAGTTTAGATGATCGATATCGACTTGTAATGTGAAGACAAACTCGGTACTCGCAGTTTCGAGACTTGTAATGTTATAACTTTGTTCGATATTTGAAATTCGGAGACTAATATGATGAATTGTATTCGGAGACTAATCTTCTATTGTATTCGATAAATCTGTTGTTTATATGTTGTGCTCTCTATATTATGTCAAGTAACATGTTTTGTAACCTGTGCAAATATCAGAAAAGAAAAAAAATCCCTAATATTCATACTAATGGCGCACCACTCAGCGCACTAATGGCGCACTACAGAAAGGACACTAATGGCGAACCACACCCTAGTGCGCCATTAGTATGCCAAAGCACATGGGTATATATGCCCCCCTAGGAGGCATACTAATGGCGTACGGTGGGCTATACTAATGGCGCACTGCATGGTGCGCCATTAGTATACCAGATACTAATGGCGCACCACGGGTGCGCCATTAGTATTTAATTCTAATGGCGTGGTTCTAGTGGCGCACCAGTAGTGCGCCATTAGTAGGCAAAACTGGTGCGCCACTAGCAGGCCTTTCCTAGTAGTGATGTTTGAATGATCCATGACAATATACTTTAACTGAGATGTGAGAAAACATAACCCATTACGTTGTCTTCCTTGTCCAACATCAACTCTTTAGCATGTCATACTTAATGAGTTCTCACAATTATAAAAGATGTCTATGATAATATATTTATATGTGAAATCTCTCTTCCTTGAATATTCTTTCATGAATTGTTCAAATAACCAATATAATGATTGCTAACTTTCAAAAAATTTACAACCTCTACTTCTTAGATGTGAAGTCATTACTCCCCATGGGATAAGCAAATAAAACATATATAATTTCAGATTTATGACTTTCAACTCATTCAACCATTTACTCATAGGATATAAGTGAAGCACACGAGTAAATGAAAAGCTACTCCAAAAAGATATAAGTGAAGATC